AGCCCCGTGGATCACAAAAGAACATATCCGCTCTGCTCAGAAGAAGCGGGCACTCTTCAAGCGTGCGGCCCGCCTGCAGTGCGCTGAGACACTTTCGCGAGCAAAGGCACTCCAGCGCTCCCTGAAGGCCGACCTAGACGCTGCTGAGACTGCATTTGCTAACACGATTGCTTTCCGAGCGCGGAAGGAACCAAAGGTGTTCTGGTCCTACGTCAGCCAGTCACAGACTATGCGACAGGAACCGATTTTCACGTCCAATGGCAGGATAGTCTCCTCACCTGGGGAGATTGCCGACATGTTTGGTAGCCAGTTCGCTTCAGCGTTCACACCTGTTTCTACCCCTTCCCTACCTTCCCGCCATGACGCGGACATTAACTTGTCGTCCAACCCTGATACCCTCTCATCTCTCTCTCTCACTTCCTCAGACCTCGAGGAGGCCCTCCGCTGCATCAAACCTTCCTCTTCTACTGGTCCCGACGGTATCCCTCCCACCTTCCTCAAGATGATCCAGCCCTACGTTCTTCCATCCCTTCTGGCTATCTACCAATCTCTTTTGGACAACCCTGTCCTGCCCGATTGTTGGCGACAGGCCCTGGTCACTCCTGTCTTTAAGGGTAGGGGCAAGTCACCGAGCGACCCATCCAGTTACTGTCCAGTTTCCATCACATCTATCCTGTGCCGCACCCTGGAGCGAATCATCAACAGGCATCTTCTCAACCACTTGGAGCGCCTCCAGCTCCTTCCACCATCCCAGCATGGGTTCCGACGTTCTCACTCTTGTGAGACCGCCCTATCAACTGTGTCTCACTACGTTAGTGACAACATGGACGGCCTCCTTCCCACCGACGTGGTCCAACTGGACTACAGCAGCGCTTTTGACACGCTGGACCACGACTGCCTTAGTAGGAAGTTGTCGGATTGCGGGGTAGGAGGCAGATTGTTGCATTGGATTGATGCCTTCCTCGCTGATCGCAGTTTTCGTGTAAGGCACAAGGGTGCTGTATCGCATACCCTTTCAGCCCCCTCGGGTGTCCCTCAAGGGTCCGTCCTTGGCCCAACACTCTTCAATGTGTATGTTCGTGACATTCCGCAGTCCGACAGGCTCCTCACCATCCAATACGCCGACGACACTACTTTGGCGATGTGCATATCGCTCCCCCGATGATCTTGCCGCCATGCAAGCTCACCTGGACAAGTTGGCTGTCTGGTCGGCCTCTAACCACCTCCGTGTCAGCCACGACAAGTGTGCCGTGATGCGGTTCAGTTCGGCCAGGAAGGTCCAGACTCCACACTACACGCTTGGAGGGCTCCTTCTCCCACCTGTACAGGAGCTCAACATCTTGGGTGTATCATTCACGCCCTCACTCGATTTCAGCTGCCATGTGGCTAAGGTGGTGAGCAGGTCTCGCAGGTTACTGGGATTAGGGTCTCGATTTTCACGGCGTTTTGCACGGGAGACCCTGAAAACACTGTACACGGCTCTGGTACTTCCTCGACTGGAGTGCTGTTCTTCAATATGGAGCCCTCATCAGATACACCTCACTGAGCGCCTAGAAAGTGTGCAGCGCCGCGCGACTCGAACCTTGGCCCGCCACGACCATTCCTCTGACTACGACGCACGCCTGCAGTCTCTTGGCTGGCACCGCCTGAGCCACCGACGAACAGTGGCGCGTGTCCGACTCGTTGCTGTTGCCGCTGGCCCTTCGCTGGCCGGCTCCTGCCTAGCATCAGTTCCCCGTATCTCTAGCCGGACAAGCTGCCCTATCCCTCTCCGCGCCCGCACCCGGCGACACGAAGCTTCGCTGTTCCCCGCCGCGGTGAGCACGTACCTGTCCTTACCTGAGCGCACGCGCCCACCCCTGCCGGGGACTGGGGACGAACTCCGCGACTTCAGCAGGACTGTGTCGCGTGCTCTCCGAGCCCAGTAACTCTGTGCACCTATCATTTCTTCCTCCCTTTCATTTGTATATTCATCATCATCATTTCACCTGTTAACACACAGCCGAGGAGGCAGCCAGCACTTGGCTGTACGGGCTTCTGCCTTTTGGCTGCCTCAGGCACTCGGCTGTGTGGAAGTTGTGCCATTAAACACCTTGAACCTTGAACCTTGACTGTGTTACTAACAAACAGAAAACTTAGTTTTTTTTAACACTTTTGTTTTTTTGTTATAGAAAGTCTGACCAGGGCACTTGTTCGTTTGTAATAGAGTATAGTGCTTTAACACAAGGCCGACTGACACGAAACACATCGTTCACAGATACTTCAGAAACGTCGTTGGCAACCGTTCAGACACTCGAGTGTTACCGGCCGGTGGCAAGAGAATATGCTGCATGGTACAAAAACAAAACTAGTGACTTCTGAAGAATCCCAATCCTCGCATCACCAAAAAGGCTGATTTTGTGTGTGTGTGTGTGTGTTTTGTTTGTTAGTTAGCTGGCTAGCGAGACGCGTCGGTCGCCTATTGGCTCAGTGCGAAAGTGTCCCGACTCCCCGTAGACGTGCCGCGACAATTCCGAGTTTTTTTTACTGCCGGCCTTCGCAGAAAGCGAGCTCGCGTCGTGTGTTATCCCTCGAAAGCTTCTTGAGTCGGATTTGCATAAGGGTGTCACGCCGCGGCCGCGCAAAGATCCGGCGCTTTTGAAAGATGCCGGGGGAGAAAGCGACAGGGTGGCTCACGCATATATGCGACTGGCTGGCAGCTCTTGCTCATTAAGATTTCACGACTGATAGACATGCATATTGGTCGCCATTGTAACCGAACGCGGCAGTCTTTCTGAGAAACCTCCACTCTCCTTATCTTCGGCGAGAAAGCGGCTTCTGATGTGCAACCGCGCTCGGGCTTGAAGAAGAGAATCTTCTCCCATCAAAAGGAAAAAAAAAGAAAAAAAGAGATGTGTATACTTGAAGAGTGGCACCGCAATATAGGCTTCTGGGAGGTCTCTCTACGTATACGCGTCCTTTTTCGAGATGGTTCTGCTCTGATAACTTTTGAGCTTTACTGTTTGTATGCGCTACTGTATATTTCTTCTTAAAGTGTCTGTGTTTGTGTGTGTGTGAAAGAAGGGAGGTTTGGTGGCGTGTCGCGTATGCTCGCTTTGGTGGTTTACATGTTTCTTTTTTTTTTTGTTCTTTTTTTGTTTGGTGAACGCATCGCGGACCGTTGGCAGTTGTGACAAGGTAAAAGATGCATGGATTCAAACTTTTGGAAAGTCCGCAGTGGTCCCACGGCTAGTCGGAGGGTGCTGTATCGTCGGAAGGGAACGGAAAAATGAAGCTGTAGCAGATGCGGCTAGGTCGAGGCCGTACGGGAACTATCCTGTTTTTCGTGGGTTTGTTTTTGTGAGGGGTAATATGGGGGGTGTTTATTTGTTTTAAACGACTGTTCTGGAACGTTAATAGCGGCTGTGGGCCACCTTTCTTTCGTCTCGTGGAGAGTAATTATTTCTTGGAAATAATTGGAGGGAAGTCTGTGTTGCTGTTGTTTTCTTTCTAAAGGCCCTGCTTTTCCAGTAGAGCTTTAGGGCATTTTTTTTTCTTATCGTATACGCTGGGTGCGACTAACTGAATAGTTTGGCGGACTTTGTGGATAAGAGAGCGAGACATCAGACCTTGTTATTTTTCGTACTCGTGACCTCGACTCCACATGTAACCTGATGTGTTTTTGAGCCGACTTGGTGTACAGGTGTTTCAAAGGATTCCTTCTGTATCCGTGCCTCTCTTGTGAGCACACAAGTTTCCGTTCGTCAACCTCCCAACATCCCGTCTGTACTCGTATACTTTCGGATAATAGTGAGGTTTAGTATTGCGTATACGAGACAGCGCAAGCGCTGTACGTTTGCGTTAGCGTTGCGTTGCGCTCTTCACGCTGCGCATGCGCGAAGTCGCCATGCGCCAATCCAAAGCCGCAGTTTGGGCTCCGCGGACGCGCATTGTGGAACCCGCAACGCTGAAGCAAACGCACGGGGCTTGCGTTCGCTCGTATACGCGATACTAAAACTTGCTAGTGGGAACTTTTGAAAACCTGTACCGTGTTGTGCGTACCGCGCTACCGGAACCTTTGAAGCATGCTTTTAACCGCGCGCGCGGGTGATACCGTGACCACGAAGCGCGCGCTTAAAAGCACGCCTCAGCCTCCGACTCTCCGGTGGTGCGGTACGGGGTACACGGTAACGGTTTGCTAAAAAGTCACTAATAGCGAGTTTTAGTAGACCGTGTTTCCCGCTCCGCTAAGCCCCTCCGCTACCCGGAACTTTACAGCCAAGGCCATCGGCGCGCAGGCGCAGTGGCGGTTTCTTCGTAGCGGAGGGCTAGCGGAGCGGGAAACACGGTCTACTAAAACTCCCTAATATCGGTAACTTTTGTGTGTCTGTACCGTTATGGCCCTTGTGCAGGGATGCTTTTTACGAATGAGCAGCTTTCGCGAAGGAAAGGGAGCCAGCTATTTCTGGTGCTGCGTATAAAAACAGAAGAAATTAAAAAAGAAAAACGGTTTCCTTTTTTGTTAAATGCAGGAGGACAGACAGAATGTGCTGCGTACGTGTTTTGAGCTGCGCTGGGTGTCAATTTACGAGCCAGGAAATCAGGCTGGCGGTACAGATCCAAGAGGCGTCGCGCTAGGTTCGAGGAGGAGGAGGAAAGAAGGAGAGAGAGGAGGAAAGAAGGGAGAGGAGCATTAGAAAGAGACGGGTATCACAAATAAACGTGATACCTTAAGCCCAGCGCAGTCGCACACTATTCATATGATACATCACATCAAAAGACATGGTGTTCGCTGTAGTCATGGTTACACGATTATCTGCGTAATCGCTTCAAGTATGTTCGAAGCACGTTGTCTTTACACAATTGTATGTTCCAAGCCTTTTGTGTGATGTATTGGCAGTGCGAACGCGAACACCAAGAAACTGCCCCACCAGCGGCACCTGTCGGGAGACGATGCAACCGATCGGAATTTTATGCTACTACTACTCCGCGCTGTCAGCGGGTTTCCAAGACCTGTCCATGAAAGGGCTTCCGAAGTCGTCGGTCGCGCCTCGACTGCCTCGACTGCCTCGACCTTGCTTCGCGGCTGCCGGCCAAAGGCGGAGGAGACGTCGGCGAGCAGGACGACTCCTTCTCCTGCGACGCTCCTCACGTTTCGAGAAAGTCGACCTACGCGCGCTCACCGTCGTGGTGGCGTTTCCTTTTTCTTGCTTTGCCTGTTTTAAAATAAAATATAAAGATAATCGGCACAGCCACATTCTTTTGCGTGGTCGAGGCAGACATCTGGCTCGTCTTTGTCCTTCTGCGCGACCGTGGACTGGACGACGCGAGGCGCGGTTCCGTTTTCTTGAACCGGGATTCGAACCCCTCGTCGCCTGCGAGTCCCGCGGCCCCCTGGGTCGGGGAAAAGGAACCGGCGTCATGGAGGTGTTAGTTGTGAGTAACCGTTGTTTTTGCCGATGTCGTCTGCGCCGCTGCCTAACACTATATACTGCACGCTAAGCCTAACGAAAGAATGCTTGAAACGCTGAGAGCTCAAGAAATGTGAGGCGTGGGCGAGTCGCAAGCATTATTTGTCGCACCGATGGTAATGAGATTGCGAAAGGACGAATTGCGAAACCGGAAACGTTAAGATACGCTAACCCACGCCCCGTGTTTCTTGAGCTCTCGCTTTCTGTATAGAGTCATCCGTCGTCGTTTTTTCTTGCCTTTTTTTTTTCTTTCTTTTTTTTAGCGTGTATAGTTATTGCGAACGTGAATGAACGATGTTCGATGTGGGTTTTATCTGTGGGATATCGCTACAAATGCAACTTATTTTGCTCTTGTCGTTTTCTTTTCTTTTTCTTTTTTTGTAGCGCAGTTCGAGCAGTGGGGCGTCCCCCCCCCCCCCCCCCCCCTTTTTATCATTTAATCGGATTCGTAGGCCGCCTGGATCCTGTTTATGGGTCGAAATATCAATTTACGGAATTGGTTGACCGAGAGATCTAAATAAAACATAGGAAAAAAAAAGAAAAAGCTCTGGCCAACGGGACTTTCTTGTTGTTGTTGTGGGCGTTGGGTTAATGGCGTTTGCGCTCGAATATGTAGTGCGCTTTTTTACTTTTTAGTATTTGCTTATTAAATTTCTTACGTATTTTTCGAGGTCGAGCGAGTCCGAAGCGACTCGGTTGGTTCATCTCGCTTTTTGGAGCAACTGAACACGTTTCTCGACAACGTCGAAATGGCAGTTGCAATGAGTTCATTTTGTCGACAGGTTCGCGGTGTTCATAGCCTAAGGTGTGCTCGTCCGTACGGTATAGTAATTTAATTTTTGTGGGATGAAATTTAACTTTTGTAGATCATCCTGGCTTGCGAAGTTTTACGCGCTTGTGACACTCACCTTACCCCGCGCAGTTATAATTGTTTTTTTTTTCTTCTTAAATTGTTTAACAGTTCATTTCAAACTTACCCGCAACACTTGAACGATGTCTTATCTCACGGCAGCGCTATCCTGCAGGTGGCGGCCGAAGAACTGTGGCATGACGTAGCGCTCAATGGAAACAGCCCATGGCAGGGGAGGCACCTCGCTAGACCGAGGGCACCGTAGCAATTTTGCACCGATAAATACTTACCGCCACCTTTTTTCGCGAAGACGAATACGTGCCTTTGAAAACAGTCAATGATTGGATGATTCAATCGGCAAGCATTTGATACTTTTACCGAATGAGGCAATAAAAAAAAGTTTAGATCGCCTGGCAGCAAAATGTAAATCAATGAATCAACCAATCAATCAATAAGCTTTATGTTACGAAAATTTATGGAGGGAAATCCAGACAGAAAGCTGTCACAAACAGCTTGACTTGGTCTGTATTCCTTATTACATTGGCAGCAGGAACTTTCGATAAATACACATAATAAAATATACGCACTGATAAAAAGAATACAGCACACGAACTCTGCAAAGAAAGGTTAATAAGTTAAGGCCCTATTTTACACACACACAAAAGTGCAGACGGAGGTATTATTTTCATTTAGTGTGCGTATGTTTATGGTGTTTGTGAAACATCCGTTTGATAAGATTTGTATTATAGCATAGAGACTGGAAATTCTAGTTCGTACAGGATCGAGGAAGGACGCCTGTTTCTGTGCGACATCTGCTAATACTGCATTCATGCCTTGTAAGTCCTGAATGAATGTATAAAAACTCTACAAATATTGGAGATGAGGTGTTGTTCCCGGTCAAGCAGCGATTTCGTCCTTGAACGAGCGACCTCCCCTTCTCGGACTGTTCCATTGAGCGCTACGTAATGCAGCAGCAGTTTTTCGGCACGCTGCCGCCAGGGTGGCGCTATCATGAGATAACACACCGTTGGCGTGTTCCAGATAAGTTTGGAGAGCACTGTGCTTGGTCGCCAAGTTGTTTCAAACACTCTGAGATCGTTCCACGGATCGCGTGCTTTGCTAAGCGGGTAACAAAAAAAAAACATTTATTTCAAAACAAATTTTGAAATAATTTTCTACAGGCGCTTCTTTCTAAATATAATATTTGCACTTGTTCACTAACTTGTCCTTTGTGAGCGGTTGATGATACATAAATATATAAAACATTGCCAACAATTGGGGGGGGGGGGGGGGAGGTGTCCGTGACATTTCTGGGTGCATTGTTTGTTGGCTATTGCTCTAAAAACGAGGTCATCTTCCAAACCAATGTATGAACTTCACAGTGGCATGTTTATTGCTCAACGACGTACAACTGTACAGGATACATATTTTTTTCTTCTCTTGCTGCACTGTGCTCATAATTTTCTTTACTTTTTAACAAAGTCGTTGCATAACTTAGCTTGATTTTTCTGAATTTAATAGTTCGATTCCGTGCGTAATTAGTCTAGGAAATTTGTTCTGAATCTGCGCTGTTGCCAGCCGGCAACAGCCAGGTGGCGCCAGCAGAGTGAGGGCCCACGGCTATACTCTTTCCTGTTGTAACTTTGCAAAGAGTGAACGATAAGCCCCACATTGCGTGCCGAGAGCTCTCCTTATGCGCTACATATACGAGCGCAACGCACACATATTGGGGCATGACGCAGCGAAAGGCCTGATACTTCTTCGCAGTAAAAGCGCACCGGTGACACGTAGTCACGTTCCGATTGACCTGCTAGGGCCGTAGCTTCCGCCGTACTTGCATGTTATTCGATCACGGCTCCCTGGCCTACCCAGTATTTCTTGCTTCAGACGCTAGGCTAAGCGGCGCCACCAGAGGAATGGCTCACGTTGGAACAACGCAGCGGCCACTCCGAGGCATACCCAATGTTTCTTGCTTCAGTCGCTAGATATCGCCAAGCCAAACAGCATTGCACGTTGCCTATCGCAGGTAGCTTACGAGCGTCTCCGACGCCAGAAACGAAAGATGTTTCATTCATCTATGACCGCCTTTTAATGGGCTATCAAGGCAAACAATTTCCGGTTTCTAGCCCTTCTTGCTGCGGACAGATCGAGTCAGTACTCTAAAAACAAGATGTAGAACTTTTTTAGTGTAATTGTACTAAATAATTAAGACCACGCAATAAAAAAAAAAATCCCTTGGCAGTAGCATAAACCAGCAAGTTGGTCCTTAAGTTTAGTTTTATTTAGTTTTAGAGCAGTGCGGAATCGCTCTACTCGTCTGCAACTATTTTTCGCCGAGCTTTCAAGGACCGGTTCTGGCTTCGAAGCCCAATCTTTCGCTTTGTCGCACCAGATGAAAGGCCTAGAATTGTGTAGGGTTGACTTTCATTGCTATTTAAATTTAGGCGGCATCTGGTGTTTATGCATAAATGTAACTATAAATGCTACCTCTTAATAATAATTAAAAAAAGAAAAACGCTTTTATTTATTTCTTTTTTTTTTGGGGGGGGGGGGGGGGGGGGGAGGTTAACGATTATTCCCGCGAAACATCGGCGACATCAAAGAGATCGTCTGCTTCTGTCCACACAGACGAAGTAAAAACAATAACAATATAAGAAAGGAGTACGAGTCCAGAAAACTCGGTATTTAGGATACTATGCAAATGAGCGTTAAGGGCTGCTCTGTCGTATTCACCTCCCTGTTTTACGAAGCGCATGCAGCGCACCCAAGGCTCAGGAGTTTGTTTTCTTTTTTTTCTGTTTCTCCCCTCCTTTTTTTATGGTCGGGCAGTGCCGAAGCTTGCCCATTTCGTAACTGTTCAACGAGCCTTAGTTACCAGCCAGTTTTAACTATATATACAACTACCGTGAAGTGTGGTTTGCCGCTGGTATACCAAAAAAAAGTGAGTCTTATTTCAGCTAAAGGGGCACTCAACTCTACCTCTTTTTTTCTTAAGTGCTTGAATAGGATAGTATGACACAAAAAACTACCCTCCTCTCCACCAAAAAAAAAAAATATATATTGCGAGACGCGCGTTTCGCAACGTACATCCTGCGCAATTTCTTTTTTACTAAATCAAAAGGCCATTTAAATTTAGTAACGATTCCGAGGCATCTTTATACAATATAACGAAGTGTAACCCCCCCCCCCCCCCCCCCCCCCATACAAATGCTCAGCCAAATTTCTCGCCCAGGCGAAAAGTTTGAGTCACCGGACTGTGTGCAGATGCGCGGTGTTCCACGCGTGCTAAAATCCCGCTTCACGGCCCATGCACATAAATAGGTGACAGCGCCCAGAAGGTGGCTGTTGGAATGGTCTGTACTCTATATAGTCAAGCCAGGGCTTTTCTGCAAAAATCAGAGCTATGTCAATATTGAATTCATTATATCAGTCTCTTGCAAGCCTCTCTTAGAAGGACCGCCTCGCGGTGACTCCGAGGCGAAGCGCCGGCCTACGGATCTCCAGGTGGCGGGTTCGAATCCCGGTAGATATGCCCGCGATCTGACGGAGGCTTATTGCGAAGAAGGCGCCATGTAACCGAGCTTTCGGTTACACGTCAAAAGATCCCCAGGTAGTCGAAATTAATCCTCAGGCGTGCCAGATGCCCGCTATTGGTTTGGCTAGGGTGCCTACATGTTTCCGCCGCTCCGCTGTTTAGGGTGGCGACAACGTTTGTGGTACCTGTTGCCGACAAACCAGTGTTGCCTACCTCGTTACCATGGCAAGCTCCGCTGTTTTTGTCGACCATTTTGTCACACTCGCCGGTCGTGCGCTCGGACTACGCCGCTAATCCTTGTTAGTGCTAAGGAGCGCTCACCGCTCTCGTTCCGACGGCGAGGTTTCGGCGTTGAATGCCGGTTTGTTGCGTTCCATTTTGTCGCGGGAACTCGCGTTTCGATAAAAGCAACGCACACTTCCTGCTCGCAACTTCAAAATATGAAACACCCGAAAAAAGAAAGCGACAGCCACGACCACCGCCATGCCGCTGAGCCTCCGACTCCTCTTATGAACGGACACGGAAGTGGCCTCACAGTGTTGCCTGTGTGTCGAGACTACAGAAACTCAACGTTGTGTAC